CTCGATGTGTCAGTTTTCGCTTCAGACTGACTTCCACATTTCTTTGAATGTTTCTCCCCCAGAGGAAATCTTCTGCCTCGTCTTCTTTGATGTACCTTAGATACAACGAGATGATTAATCTTCCAAAAAGTGTTCCCTTGATCATAAGGTATTGGGCTACATTTACTTTGAAGCTCTTCGGAATGGTTACTTCTTCCGAGACTTTCCCAGTCTCAAGGTATATAGGATGTATGGATCCACCTAACTATTTGATCCTCCAATTACCAACTCCATCGCTTCCGCATTTTCAGTGGCATGTCTGCTGAGCCCTTGGGGAACTCCTACCAAGTAGATGCACTTGGATAGGAGGTCTGCCACCTGATTGTCTGCTCGAAAGATATGCTCAACCTTGAATGCTTCAAAATTCACTATCTCTGTTTTAGCTCTGCTGAGGTATTTGATCATTATCTCGTCTCTAACCCCAAATTGTCTGTTCACGTGATTGACTACCAACCGCTAGTTAAACTATCAAGATTTACCAAGTGCCCATTTCGTAACAAACCGTAGTCCGACAAGTAGAGCTTCATATTGGCTTGATAGTTGGTAACTTCGAATCCCACTTCTATCAAGTGATACAAGTGATCTTTGGTCAGATTTGCCAAGGCAAGAATGAGCCCCTCTTTTGTTTGATTAGATGCTTCGTTGGTATGCAGAACCTAGGTTTGACTGTTACTCGCCATTTCTTCGTCGTGCTTGGTTGGCTCGAAAAAATTGGCCAAGAAATCGGCTAAAGCTTCTGCTTTGATGGCGGTCCGAGGCACGTAAGAGAGATCGAGCTCACTGAGCTTTACCGCTCATTTCAGAAATTGATCGGAGTATTTTGGTCTAATAAAGATAGATTTGAGCGGGTGGTCAGCAATTATCCTGACTGGATGTGTTTGGAAATATGTGCGAAGCCTGCAGAATGAAAAATAAGAGAAAATATATTCATATACCTAAGCCTGGTGCTTCAGAGGACTCGACTGATATAGTAAGTCGGGAACTACTTTACTCGCTCTTCTAGCATTAAAATCGAGTTAATAGGTTCAAATCCAACCCCCCAAGTATATGAAAAATTATTTGGTTGGCTTTGGACTTTGAAGTAGCGGCGGTCATGCTAGAGAGTCTTTTAGATTTTTGAATGCCTGCTCATATTTTCACCGCCTCGGGGTTTTGAAAAAGCAGTGCATTTATCGCCCTACTTTGAGATGAATTGGCTCAGACTTGAGATTCGACTGGTCAGTTTTTGAACTTCTTTGGTTTTTTGGGGGGACGACATGTTGATCAGCGCTTGGACCTTTTCTGGGTTAGCTTTTATTCCCTCCACGGTTAGGAGATAACCTAAGAATTTGCTTGTGGATGCTTCAAAAGTGCATTTGAGCGGATTGAGCTTCATTTTAATTTTTTTTTTAAAAGTTTCGAAGGTTTCTTTTAGGTATTTCATTTGTTGCTCGGGCGTTTTACTTTTTGCCAGGATATCTACATATACCTCAACATGTTTTCTTCTCTATTTTGCAAAATTACATTCTTCTTTTGTTGATAAGTTGTGTCAATATTTTTAAGCCCAAATAACATTATATTATATCAATACATTCCCTCACTTATGATGACTGCAGTCTTCTCAGCGTCGGTCGGGTGCATCTTAATCTGGTGATATTTGAAGAAGGAATCGAGGAAGCTCATCATAGATTGGTCAAGCTTCTCGTTTAGAAGCACGTCGATCCCCAACAGAGGGTATCTGTCCTTTGGGCAAGCATGTTCATATTGGTGAAGTTCACGCTCATCCTTCACTTGCCTTTTGACTTTTGCACCATAATAATGTTGAACACCCACGCCGGATAGTAGACCTCCCAAATGTAGTCCCCATTTAGTAGCTTCTAGACCTCTCCTCAGATCCGCTCTATTAGAGTGACCGTCAATGTCCACATCTTCTGCTTTATTGGTCAGGCCGCTCGGTTGTCGTTCAGGCTATGACATACGACATTGATTAATATTCTGAGCAACTCAACGATAAACCAGACAAAAACGTCTCAGTGTCTCCTAAGGGTGTTGATCAACGCCTCCTTGTATCCCGCATCAAAAACTTCATTTAGTAGTAAAAAATTTATCAGTGTCGCCTTCGATCATAGGGATCTGATGTCACAAATCGACCCGTTTCAAGTTATTTCTTTATAAAACCTTGAAGTTTCACCTTAATTTTTTCTTTCCCGTTTTACTTTAAGTAATTGTCATTTTAATCTCTTTAATAGTCAACACAATATTACCTTCATACTCAAAGTTATCATTAAAAGTGTGTTTGAAGACACTCTCAAGATTGTACTTGAAGGTACTTTTAAATTGTACTCGAAGGTACACCTTTACCATTTTCTTTAACATGCATAGATACTTTGCATCATTTGACAGTATCATATGGGGGGAATCCTGTATGACTTATTCTTTAATTGACATTTCATATCAATTAAAATCATATAAAATGTAACTTCATATGGTATATATTTCCTCCCAATTGTAATATCGTATGAGACTTTCAAAATGCCAGACATTAATGAAATACTTGTTTTTAACCATTTAATAAAACATTTATTCATTTAATAAAATGTTTATTTAATGTAAAAAAGAAAATAATCACTCACATTTGCTTTCAAAACACCTCTGGAATAGAGTATCCCTTTTACTTCAGTGAACTTCTCTTAGCATTTTAGTCTCTCTATCGTATTTTAATTCAACTCTTTGATAAATTAAAATTATTAAAATTAATTCATAAAAATTGTTGAAATGAAATTAACACCATTAACTAATTTATAGAATCAATACATAAAACTTGCAAATCTTTACCTCATCCCTCTTGAATGTCTTGCTCCACCCTTCTTCAAATCCCCAGAATTTAATGGATTTTTTCACACTTTCTAATCTAAGAAAATTTTAATAATATTAATTACTTTAGCAATATTATATCATTAATTTCCATTATAACATAAGGCTTAACATTTAGTTATAGATTTTTAAGTCGGTCTCCTTCCTTACCGCATGCTCCTCCAACTTTTTTTTTCAAATCTGACTTCGTTATTTTTTAATGCCCTGATTTCAATGAAACTTTCTATTAAGATAATTATTAAACACACTTTTTTTTATATACATACATCTAGTTCTTGTTGTCCTTCTCGTGGCTTGGCCGGCTTTGGTTTTGTTGGTTTTGGCCTGAACAACTTCACTTGGTCAGACAAGTGGGCTTCAAGGTCTTACGTCGGTTGGCCATCCTTCGTCATTCTCTTTCTTTCTGGACTATTAGATATCCTCAGGATTAGTGCAGACATTTGTTTTGTGTGTGTGTGTGTGTGTGTTTTTTTTTTCTGTCTTCTTGCTTTTATTAACGTTGGCAAAAGTCTCGTGTGCAGCATATGGTGATATCTCAGAGATAGTTGTAGAGCATCAAAAGCCCGAGGATGTCCTTAACGGGGAGTCATCTGTTGAGGCATTGGAAACTGTGGAGGCTAACAACAAAGTATCTGATAGTGAGCAAATCAACACTCGCTTCACCCTTCCAATACAATCGGTGCAAGGCACAAAGTAGGGTTCTTTTCATATGTTTTTTTCAAGCCTCTTACAAGTTCATTACTCAACCATTATCCCAAAACTTATTTGGTGTCATGTTTTACAGTGATAGTGTAAATGGTGTTGCTAGATTACGGCTTCCAGCCCCAGAGTCTAATTTTGCTGCATTGTCATCTTTAGAGTCGCCAACTTCTGCAATAAATCACACAGGGAAATGTGCACATGGAGAAAAGAGTGAACAAACTTTATCTATTGTCCCATACAACCAGCAGTTTGATTCTAGTCCCGGTTTGAGTGTTGATTCACTGTCACCTGGATGGAATGAGTTTACATCTATATGTGATATTAGCCCTTTATCAGATCCATCCAACAGCTCTAAAACCAAACAAGCTAAAATTTATTATGCAAAATTGTTCTCAGATAGAGACACATTGTCTGGCGTTTCATTCCAACATTGCTTAACTGCCACTTCACAAGGTGGCCTTGGTGAAGGAAAATTCATAATTAATTCTGCTACTGGTGGACTGCAGTACAATCCTGTAGATGAAACTCCTGAAATCTTAAAGGATGCCCACTCTCCTACAAAAACAGTAATAGCCAGCTCACTGAATCAGAAGCGTGTATCTCCTCCAAGTAAAATGTTGCATGAAGCAGGATCAAGTTTTTCGCCCGGCCTGAGGAGTGGCCGTAAATATGTCCTGCATTCTATCCCACAGTTTCCATCTCTTACTCCATACAGAAATAACTGAAAAAATAAGGGCACTTGATGTCCCCAGAAGAGAACGAATAAAGTTCATATGTTGCTCATCGCCATTGATCAAAATATTGTAGGCATTTCATTCATGGTGCTGATATTTGCCTGCTGAATTAATGAAAGGTATCAAACTTCAAATGTTTTCTGTTTCTAGAAGGCATCTCAAAGTTATGTTTGTGAGTTTTATAGTTACTAGTTCTGCAAAAGCAAGATTCATTGCTAAAAGCGAATGAAATTTTTAGATGCAACTCTTACTTCATTCAGGATGGTTGCTTGCATGCCTGCTTTGTTTATAGTCTCCAATTTTAAACTATTTTTTCCCTCCAAAGTGGAGTAGATGTAAATAAAAACTCATAAGGAGCTCATTTATTTGTACATTTTTTTTTTCCCTGCAGCTGAGTTATTGATTCTCTGAACCTGTCTCCATGAATTTGAAATTTATCATGTTCTTTAATTTTCTTGCTTTAATTAGTGTAAATGGATTGCTTACAAGGTTTCCAACAGTGTAGTTTGGTCATCTGCAATAAGTTCCCAGGCTTATTTTTTTTTGCTTCATTGCTAAACTGATTTCTTTTGAAGATATTTCTTTCACTGAGATCAATACTTATGCTACATTTTTTAGTGCACATGGGGTAGGATTGTATATATTCTAATATTGGATGTTCTATTAAATATTTAATAGATGTTCCATTAAATATATATTGGATGGAAGCTATGAAAAAGCTTTGAAAAAATTTGTGCCCTGAGCAGAAAAAATATATATATATATTCCAACATAGATCCAAACCAAATACATGATTAATTATCCCTTTCCATTATTGACAAATGAGACAGGCTTGAAAACCTGCTTTGCTGAAAACTTGCATTTCGGCTATGGTGTAAACGAAACGAGTTGAGTTTGAGCTTGTGGGCTCAGAAATTTCAACACCTCGACCTCTTGCGTTGAGGGTTTTTGGATGTAATCAGATTAAATTGTTAAAAGACATTAAATTTTAGATAAGACGAAGCCCAAATGTTTCACCTTCATTTTGTAAGGATTTTTTTATCGTGAGGGTTGAGATTTCCTATAAGCACAACTCTTACAGTAAATTACTACTCACGATAATAAGAGAGCATTTTCTATTAAGACTAGTCGTTAAGGCACCAGCTGTTCAAACTCATCATATGATAGCAAAGATTAGATTTAAATTAATTAAATTTATCACTGTGGGTTTAGAGTTATCAGTGTTGGTAATGGCAACACCCAATAATGATCTCATGCTTCCATCATCCAGGATTGTTATGATGTAAAAACCGAAACTCCTACTATCAAGTAGTGAATTGCCTTTTTCATTTTGATTGTGTGATTCACAATATCTTTCCCTTCTTAGATCACACTAATCGCACCTCGTCGCCTTCCATTTCATCTTGCACGCGAACCGACCGCCCGTGCTCCCGAACCAACCACCTGCTCTCACCCACCTCCTCCCCTCTATTCTTGGCTATCAAGCTTATGCCATCACTCTTCTTTCCCCCACAGCTATAGAGCCTCCTCTCTCTCCCTCTCCTCTCTAACCCTCTGATTCTCTTTAACCTTGGTAGTCGCTCTCGACTTGATCCCCATTGACAGCTAAATGACTTTCCTTGGTCTCTCCTCTCATTTAAGCAACTTGACAATAAAGTTTTATCATTATTCTGTTTTTCTTTCTCCTTATTTACCTATAATAATTAGGTATATACATATAAACTATTTAATATAATAAAATGTTTTGGTAAATTATTAATTAGATTAGAAGAACAGAATATTAAGTTACTGTTAATTTTGATTAAAATAGTTTTCTTCTATTAGCATGTAGATATTAAATTATTAGTAACAATAACCAATGTATATTTTTAGGTATATTAGAAGTTTTGTATTGCTTGATTTAGATTTTTATTTATTATGAGATAAACAGACCATTCATTGTTGATACGTGCTAGAAAATTTGCGACAATAGAGTAATGAACTATCGTTTAGCGTTGTACGAAAGTTCAGCACACACACAGATGAAAGAGAAACAAACGCTGATGACTTCAGAAGTTTTTACATGAAAAACCAGTAAAGGGAAAAATCACGTGGCCTGATTCAATTGCGGAAATCCACTATTGAATTTATGATTACAGAAATCTCTTATCCTACATACGGGAAAATGCTAACTATATTTTTCAGATTACAACGTTAACTGACGGTTGACAGAGGTCGACGACGGTCGACGGTGGTCGACAGCGATTAGCGGTGGTTGACGACGAAGGTCAACGGTGGTCGACAACAATCGGCGGTGGTCTTCGGCGGACGGTGATAGTCGACGACGATCGACGGTGGTTGACGACGGAGGTCGGCGGTGATGCTGAGTTCAGCTTCTCCTCAAGATCTCAGAGTTTCTCTCTAGATTTCATGTGAGGGGTGGGTGTCTATTTATAATGTTTTGGGTGCAATTAATGCATGAATATGAACCATTTTGATCGGACGGTCTGGAGATCTTCCCTCAATCATATAGTGTTTAAGGGACATTTGAGTTCTTCAATGATGTAAAAATTGAGTGATCTTGGGCTCGTTGGATTAGTCTTGTTGAAACGCTCGATTCGACTATAAACTTGTCATATTCGACAATCGTTTGACCTTCCCAATGTGTCCAGAAATCTTCTAAGTGTGGTTCAATGACTTGATCTGGGCTTGATTTGACTCGAATTGGACAAGTTTTCATATCATTAGGTCCGTCCCATCGAGCCGGCCAGTTTGACAATAAATTTGCTAAAATCGGAGCTCTGGATGAATTTTTATCAAGATTTAAATGTTTCTTGTTCAAAATATCGTCTCGAGATTTGTGTCATGTCTCGAGATTTGTGCTGGATGATGAAAATTTATTGGTAGCATATCAGTTGCCCCCTATTTTGGGCGAGACCATTTTTATCGTCTGAAAATATCAAGATCTGGAGCATTTATGTCATGCATATATATCAATACATATATATTATTTTATTAGTGTTAGCATAAGAATATTTTTTCTCCATATATATTTAGAAGTTGAAGCCAGTCTAGTTGGTAAGTTCATTTACTTCAAGAGAGGGTTGCAGGGTTGGAATCCCGCCTTATAATAAAATTTTTATTAGGAGTTATGGAGTCGATGAGTTGGGGAGCCTGAATTCTAAATTGCTCATAAAATTCGAGAAAAATAATTATTTTATTTATTTATTTATTTTTTTAAGATGAAAAGTTTATTTTTTTATTTTTTTATGACATTTAATGTTTGCACTCCTTTTTCAGCATATTTAATAACAAATACTTAATTTTTCACTTCTTTTTAAAATCTATTTAATAACAAATATTTAATTTTTCATTTCCTTTTGAAGTCTATAATTATGATCATTTAATGGTTAAATCCCTTTTAGAGCATATAAATAGGGGCCTGAAGAAGAGGATAGAGGTGCGGCGGTGCATCGTGGTTGGAGCCGATATCGGTCGACCGATCAAGGCATCCAATGAGGGACCTATTTTTCTCAGTTCTTTTTAGACTAGAGTCCCAAACTTGTCTATTTATGTGTATTCATATAATTCCCCTATCCGAAAAAATCCCTCTCGAATCACATAAGTGATTTGAAGATGAGAGGAATCGAATAGCAGGACATATGGAAACAAATAGACAAACAAATAAAAAGAAAAGAGACGGAAGGCTTATATACGAGTAATCCTCGTGTGATGGCTTGAGGGTATACGTCTGAGCGAGATCGGATCGAAATACCTCGAAACACGACATCCACGAAGGGAATCCTTATATGAGTCACCCATAACCAAAGAACCAAAAATAATATTTTTGTTCTGGGGTCAAGAGTCTCTCAAAGGGACGTACCCCTACTTGTTAATTACATCTTGGGGGATACCCAAAACTACTCTCAATAAAAGGGGTTTCGTTTTATCATTAGAAATCTGAGGGATAGGTTATCAAAGATAGGTTATTTTGTATGAAAAATCTTCATGCTTCGAAGTTCACGCCAAGCCATTGAACATAGAGCGAATCTCTCACATCGCGAATGGGTAACGACTCCTCGGCATATGGAACTTACGAAATAACCATAATCATTTTTGCAAGGATATCTCTAAGAGTCAAAATGTGTCCGGACTGTAAGGGCAGATGACGAATCGTTGTGTCCCAAACGCTGTAGGCTCCGGCAATCCGACCAAGTTGGCGGACGACGAAACCAAGAGGGGGAGAGTGGTAGTAAGAGATAAGAGGGAAAACAAGAGCGAATGACGAGCCGAATGGGACTAGGTGTATTTTTTATATAAAATATTAAGTAACTTTTTTTAGAGGATGAACGGGAATGGTACACCTATAGGTGTAAACGAGTCGATTCGAGCTTAGAGCTATTCTTGGTTTGAGCTTGAACTTGATTAATTAATTTTTCGAGTTCGAGCTCAAGCTTAACTCTAACAATTAAAGCCAGCTCATTAGTCGGCTTGTTTAATATGAAAGAGAAAAAAATATATATTAATTTAAGTTGTGTTATAATGAAACACAAATAGAATAAGCATTTAGGACATAATTAATAAGAAATAATTTAATATGAAATATAAATTCTTTTTTTTTTATAATCTAAAGAAAATTTCTCAAGCTTTAATGTATTTTAAGTATATTTTTATTAATTAATTTTTTAACTAGTCGGCTCACGAACCAATAAGTTCAATCGGTGCTGACTTGAGCTTGATTTATTTGCTCATCGAGTTTTGTTCACGAGCCACTTATCGAGCCCGAGCGAGTCGGCTTGGCTCCCTTACATCCCCGGTACACCACCTCATGCGCTGCAAGTAGGGCTGTAAATGAACCAATGCATTCGATGAACAACTTGAACTTGACTCGATTAAGGCTCGATCATTTTCATTCAAATTAGTAAATAAACAAGCTTGAATAATTTTTAAAAACACGAAGCTAAAACGAATCAGACATGAACATATTCGAATATTTTCGTTTATGTTCACGAGCAAACTTCTTTGTCATTCAACAAGTAACTTGTTAAACTCGATATTAAGCTCGATAATAACTCGTATTATATATATATATATATAAATTTTAATTAATTACAATTTATTTACTTATAAATTTAATAGTAATATATTATTATATCAATAATATTTTTAGTTTAATTATTAATTATATATTTATTTTATGAATAAATGAATGGTAATTTAGAATGAGATATTTACACTTAAAGAGTGTCAAAAGATTTTGTCTTGGGTAGTTTTCATAACTTTGGAAGTAATGAGTTCTTTTTTTTTATAACTACCTTACTACAATTTCTAACCACATTATTGTTATTATTTTTTTTATTAATATGACTAAGTAAATGATCATCCCTATAACTTTCAAGATCAATTTTCTTTTACTAACTAAATTTGAACAATTGAAGTCTTATCAATGAGAAGTATGTAGCTAATTAGTAAAGTTAAAAGATTTAAGAATTCATGATAAACAAATTAGTAGTTTTGATTAGAATTACAAAATTATTTAATAAACAAATTAGTAAATTAGTAGTTTTGATTAGAATTACAAAATTATTTATTAATTTTTTTAAATGAAAAGCTAGATTCTCATTTGAATTTTTCACTCATTTATTAGCTCATTTAAATACTCGTTCACTTGTCAAAATCAAATCAAGTTCAAACATTGAAAAATTTAAAAACACAAGCATAAACCAAACATGAACAACTTACAATTATACCAAACCAAATCCAAACAATCATATACCCGGCACGGCTCGATTACAGCCCTCGTTGCATGCTAATGCACGTGCATCAATGATAAGTTCAAGTAATTTTTTTCTTGAACAATTCTTCAAAATCACTCTTAAATTAAGCTTGATTAATTAAGCAAGCTCAAAGTCAACTTCAAATTTAAATGTAAGAGTTTGAAGTGACTCACAAATCAATTTTTTATTATGAAAGGGGAAAAAAATTAATTCAAGCGTCATTTTAAAGGGAAGACAGCCTCCCCATGCGCTGCATATAGATCATAGACGTGCGTGCGAAAAGTGCTAGGGCTAGTATTTCTTTTTCTTGAACAATTCATCATTTGAGCTTGATTAATTAGTTCAAAGTGGAATCTCAAATTTAAATGTAAGGGTTCAAATTGACTCACAAGTTAATTAACTTTGTTTATCATGAAATAAAATTTAATTCAAACTTGTGCTTTGATAATTAAAATAAATAATTATGAGATAAATAATAAAAAAATTTATTTCCTTCAATATTTAAAAATTTTTAATAATTCAAAAAATCTTAAAATTTATTATATTTTATGTATATTTTATATTAATATTTTTTTAAAACGAGACAGCTCATGAGCTATCCAATAGTCGTGGCTAGCTTGAGCTTGACTCATTAGCTCATCGAGCTCAATTCAATAACTAATTTTCAAGCTAAATTTGAGCCAGCTCAGCTTGTCTCAATTACATCCATAAAGCCAGATCTTACTTCTTTTAGATGTTCTAAAGAAAAACTAAACATAAGAATAAAAATGCAAAATTGTTCTAGTAAATGTAAACATTAAAGCTTTTAAAAAGCCCCTTTCAGTCTTGTAGAAACAAATGCAAAGCTGACATTCAAAACAATAACTTTTGGCATCATATCAAACAAAATATAAAATCATCACATAAAAGTGAAAATCCAAACAATAATATTTAACTGCAAGTGCTTCAACACCACCAAAACCATTAACTTTGACAGATAAGAAGACAAATCTGATATGAACTTCTCTGAATAAATTATTTCTCAAAGTCTGATGCAAATTGTTTCAACCTTCAATCAAATGAAATTATCTACTAACATATAGCTTCAGCTATGCTGCTGCTGTCACATCAAAGCCCGATTCAGGTAACAACCTCAAATCGATTTGCCAATTACTCGCCCTCGAGCTCCAAACTTGTTTTAAGCCAATTGGAAACATCATTCATCTCCTCAGGGATAGTGTAGTGGGCAAGGCTGCAATGGCATCAAATGTTCAGAACTACAAGGAGGATGCTGAACCTGAGAGGAAAAATGCTAAACTAGGATGCTTAATAATACCTGTCGTAGCTTTTGAAGGTTAGATTCTGAAATCCATTTGAAGTGAGAGCTTCAGCAGATCTCTCACCAAGCTTATAAAGCACTACTTCATCTCCTGCAAGGAATTGTTTTTATTATTATTTTTTTAATGCCTTGAAGCTGGCAGATTGTAAGTTATGCAAGGTGATTTCTCATAACAGTGGTTTGAGGAATCTGAGAGATACAAATGCAATTAAAATTTTATATTTGGTGGTCAATTCAAATGTAGATGGTAGAGAATTTAACTTAATCAAAGAAATGAAAACAAATGCACATTTTTCATTAGCATGTCTCATATCCTTGTGAAAATCAAGAAGAAAAAGTTATTGGGTCATCAATGTGACTAGCACACACCCTCTGTTAGAAAAAATAAAATTAAAAGTTTCATCAATCAAATAAAAAGAGAATTATATGATAAAATTTTGTAATTAGCTAAATTTAATGATGCTTAAAGAGTGTGGATGATCTTTTCTTTGATCCTACACTCGAAGGCCGTGCTTAAGTGATGATAATGAGATTTTTTTTTTCCAACAAAAAAATAATGGGTCCATCTCTCTCTCTCTCTTAATAAATAAATAAATATATATATATATATATATATATATAACTGTAGTCCCATTCTTGCATGTTTCTTAATTAAAAAAAAAATTATGCTAAACATCAAACAAATTTAATTTACAATTCTAACCTTGAATGATTTATTCTCTTTATTGCTCTTAAAAATATAATTGTCACAAGAAATATACAACAAGGCAGCCTAATTGATGTATGATATTTCTGAAGAGTTCTTAACGCCCATCTAGCATGCAATGTGGATTAAGATGAAATCAACCAATGCAATAAACATGTAACTTTCATGGGATAAAACCTTATTAACCTTAGAATAATTATTTACCAGTTAAGATACAGCAACAACAACAAGAAGCCTATATCTCACTAAATGGGGTCAGCTACATGAATCCTTTTTCTCCATTGTGTCCAATTGAGTGTCAAATTTTCATTTAGTTCTAATAAATTAAAATCATTTTTTATACAACATGCCCAAGTCTTTTTAGGTCTTAACTATACCAACATGCACAAATCAAAATCTAAAACATCTGCTCTTCTAACAGGGTCATGAGACCAAAACATCTAAAGCGACTCTATCTAGCCTTGTCTGCCGCTAGAGCTACTCCAACCCTTTCATGAATATATTTGTTTCTCATTGTCTTTTAGTGTAAAAATACTCATTCACCTATTCATTCTCAGCTTAGCAACACTTAAACTTAATTTTGTGGTTTTCTTTTATAGGTCAACATTATGTGCCATAAAGCATTGTAGGTCTCACCACCATCTTATAAAATTTTACATCAATACTAAGCGGTAATTTTCTATCAAACAAAAGACTTGATGTATTCCTCCACTTCAACCATCCAGCTTGAATTCTACTAATAACACCCCCATTTATATCATCATCACTTTGAACAATAGACCGGAGATATCTAAAACATTCACATCTTTTAATAAGCTAGCTCAAACATTCACTCTTTTTAATGACTTGATCACCCATTATTACAGCCCAACAACTAGATCTACTATTACTAAAATTACATTACATGCATTTAGTTTTATATCTACTCAAACGAAAGCCTTTAGACCTCCATAATTCAAGTATTTTTTGAACTTTCACTAGTCTCATCCACAAGAAAGACATCATCAGTGAAAAGCATACACAAATGTATATCCTCTTGTAAATGTCCGATAAAAGCATCCATAACTAAAGCAAAAAAGATATGGGCTTAAAGCCGATCTCTAATGTAATCTAACTTAAATAGGAAAATACTTTGTCAATCCTCCTTGTGTTTGAACATAAGTAACAACTTTAGTATACATATCTTTAATTACTTGAATATAAGCAATATCAACATGTTTCTTTTTTAGAACTCTCCAAAGTACTTCTCTTGGAACATTGCTTGTTAAGTTGCAAACTTAAAAATAGATAAATCTAATTCAAGCAAAGATTTGTAGCCATATGATAAAAATTAATGAAAAAAAAAAACAAGATATAAAGAATGCCACACGAGCAATTGATATTTGAATCCTAAAAATCTATAGTTGTCGAAAACAACACATGCTAGCATTTCATTGACATTTTAAACATTTGAATTTACAATTTTAAACATCAAATTTGAATTAAAGATTACATTTTTTTTATTGAAACTAACTAGTTTGTTGGTTGGAGTTTATTTTTATATGATTACGACGTTATCCTACTTCTATGGTGATTTTTATCCTATTATGGGTTTGCTAGTTTTTTCGATATTGTATGATTACAATTTCAGAAGGTTGGTGCAACTATTGTATTATATAAGGTGGTTGTTATTGACGCGAGGCCGGTATAGGCTTGTTGGACCGGCCCTATCCGGTCCAGGCTTTCTTGACCGGCCGGAGCAAGGGAATATGCAGCCCATATCTTTCCTAACCCTCCTGCTTGTTTTTCTCTATTTCCTTTCCTTTTCCATTAATATTCTTTCTAGTCATTGCTTATTCCAGACTTACCTTTCTAAGTCCTTCCTAATTTTGTATCTGACCTATTCCTACTTATTCATCACTATTATATATGGGACTTGTTTGTCTAGGTGCAGGAAGTTGATTTGTTTTTGAATTCAGAGTCCACCACCGGTGTTTTTCTTTCTGAGGATTATATTCGACAACGAGAAGGTCCTCTTGTGTAACTCGTGCGAGATGGTGATTATCTCATCCGCTCCTTGTTGTTTCCGACAACAACTGATCCTCGAAGCCCTTCTTCTGACTCCAAGGTGTCGCTCATCACTGTCTACGCCTCCTACCGATTGCAATACCCATCTTCCCGACTCCAAGGTGCCACTCATCACTGTTTTTGCCTCCAGCCGATTGCAGAACCCATCTTCCACAATTCTAGGGTGTCGCAACCTTTCATCCGCAAATCCTAAGGTGGCGCTACCTCCCGTCCCTAAATCCCAAAGGCCATTGTCTCCCAGCCGCACCTGCTCTCCCCAGCATTTTCCGACTATCTTTAGATTACCATTTTAAATACTATATTTTTTTAAGCCTCGCAAGGATAGGTTAAGAGTGTCCATCCAAACAAGATCGAGTGAAAGTACCTTAAACCGATATCCGCGAAAGAATACCTACGTAGACTACCCATAATCCGCAAATCCTAGGGTGGCGCTACCTCTCGTCCCTGAATCCCAAAGGCCACTGTCTCCCAGCCGCGCCTGCTCTCCCCAGCATTTTCCAACGGCTCATCCAGCTCCTCCCAGCAATTGTCTGTTCGTCAGCCATCTCCTAGCAGCCGTCCGACTCCTCCCAGCTGCCGCTTGACTCACCGGCCATCTTCCAACAATCAGTCCAGCCCCTTTCCAGCAGCCCACTGATTGTTGACATCAACCTTCAACCGCAAGAAGCACTGGATGCTCTCTCCGATGCCATCGCCACCTGCTGTTTCCTCTTCCAGCAGCCAGTCAGCAACCGCCTCGCAGTCAACTTCCCCGACCTTCCTTCGTTGGTGCTAGTCTTGTTTCAATTATTGCGGGAGTCTTGAATGTATTCAAATTATCCTTTGCATAATAAAATTTGTTTCCGTCGTCTTGGGTTGAGTTCACTTCGGTATCAGTTATGGTGCTGCACAACTTCACTACATCTATTCTTGGTGGCTTGCTTTGCAGATCTTGTAGGGGTGTAGCAGGTTTCGACTTATCTTAAAGGGGTTATAGCAAATAATTTACTTGTGGATGGGACTTCTTGTGAGTCCTGCAGCCACTACTTTAACAGTTGTTCTAATTGTTAAGCATAGGTTTGATTAATCTCGCAGAACTTTATGTGGGATGTTTCAGTTTCAAGAGTCACTTTGAAATTAATCGTGTGGATTACCTTGGCTTCGGCTCATTTGAGGCGTTTAAAAAGATATTTGATGGCGTCGAAAAAAATGCTTTTGTTTGTGTAAAGCATTCTTCTTTTTTGGGATTCTAATCAACCTGTTCAAGTATGAACTTACGAAGGACTTCCTCTATATTTCCTGACAAATGACCTGTTGAAGATTTTTAGCAAATGATTGGGCCAAGGTTAACTTTAGACATTTATACAGCACCAAAATCATTTACAGAACCATCTCATTATTTATATGATTGACCACAAAATATGCGTAATCAAATGTACAATTTAGCCGTAAGTGAAAATAAATACAACTCTAGTATAATCGATAAGTTAAATACTATGCTTTTTCTGTCATTCGTATTTTACAAGAACTCTCCAGCAACTTAATTACAACAAATAATTAGGAGTACTTGCATGATTTATAGATATGCTGCCATACTACAAATTTCTATTTCACCAAACAATATTATAACGAGGTAAAAATCCCAATGCACCAGAAAAAAAAATCCAAGTACTCAATTGACCTCTATAACTGAATGTTGCTAAAGACGTTCTGCACTCTCAAAATGATATGGATGCACATACCCTGAGGAGCTAGGTGCCATACTAGGCGCTTACCAAGCAAATTGAGCCAAATACAAATAATTATGCCACATACAAGCTAATTTTAAGCATTATAAATATTTTTCAATATTTTTTTCTAAAACTTCTTCGAAAAAAGTTCAGCATTTCCCTTGCTTGTGCAACTTCAAATGTTAGTTCCATTAAGATAATTCAAAATAGAATAACAATGAACCCAATAATCATTGTAACATCTTAAATTACATGCAATGTTATTCAAAGTATCCTTCAAAGTGCACTTTAGAAGTGTAGTGTAGCAATTAGCTGGCCCTGTGCATCGCTTGCTTGTCAAGCGCAAGCTCGTAGCAAAACATGCACCTTAAGCCAATTAAATGCTTTATCAGATCGCACTATAATGTTGTGCTCTAGACTTTGAATCATAATGAAATCCTAGTTCAAATTTCATGATTTGATTTACAATCCATCGCAAAAAGGAAGCATGCTTATTTAATTCTCACTATTTCTCATAGTTGAGTTGTTGCTCACTGGTTCGCCATTCTCTTGTTAGAGCTATTTGCTTCTTAATGTTTCTTCGCGCCAAGTTCCCTTGCCTGCTAGTTT